CTTTTTTTTTTTTTTTTTTTTTTTTTTTTTTTCCCATAACTCATATCTTATTTATTCTTTCTGTTTGAACAGGGGTTTTCATTCTCAGACCTTATGTATGTTACAAAGCGCAATATGGCTAATGCTGTCTCAAACTTAACTAAACATTTGGAGCACGTATCAGAGGCCCTTGCTGTAAGTGTGGTCTAGTATGCTCTTCAACCTGTTTTATTTAGAGGGAAAGAAGTGTGTGTATAGCTTGTTTCGTAGTGTTACTATTATTTTTTTAAAATTCATGACTTTTTAGAAGTTGACATGTCCTCTTCATATCCTTGTTGAAAATCTCATTTATGATCTACTATGACGTAATTGGATGCTTGATTAATAGTTGCATATTTCTGCATATTAATGCTTAATCCATATTTCAGATAGTACTGATATTTATTAATTCTTTTCTTTTTCCTGCTGTGTATATTGTAGAACTAGGTATAATAAAACATCCAACTCATTTACCCCACCCCTCAAGCCGTTTATTTTCCTTTTCCACCTTTTTTAATTGGAAACTTTTTTTTTTTTTCATAATGATGGTTTAATTTGTCCAACTCTGAATAAAGTATGCTATGGAGAAAAATTGTCCCTTTTTCATCAGGTTTTGAATAACTGCTCCTGCAGAATGACGCAGGAAATAAAGAAGTACCATTTTTGAACGTTTGTTTGTTTGTTTCCTGTGAGACTGTGATTTGTGATTATTGAGTGTGCTGTCACTGTTAAGTCAACTACTCTTTTATTGGGGTTGGAAATTGTCAAATTGTTACAAAAATGAATAAGGAATGTGTTGACATTTTTTTACTTATTTCTTTTGTTAAATAGGCAACAAAGAGGCATTTGACACAGCGGATTGAGAACTTGGATGATAAGATGTTGAAGCAGAATGAACTCTCGAAATTGATCAAAGAAGATGTATGTGACTAATGATTTTGCAGTTCTATAAACTTGACTGTTGAGTTTTTACATAATGTGCAAGTTTAAGGAAACCAATATGTTTTTGTATGGTGTAGGCATGTGCTAGTGTTCAGAAATTTTGTTAAATGATGAATGGATACATGGACTTTGTGGTGATCTGAAGTTATCCTGATGTAAATAAATTTTATACCTCGAAAAATACTGTTATTTATTTTTTTATTTTTATTTTTATTTCTTAGCATTACATACATATATATATATATATATATTTTTTTTTTAAAAAAAAATCTTTTGCTATGTTGAAACTGCTACAACCCATCATACTACACTTTTTTTCCCAGAGCGTTATTATTTTTTATTTAAGAAAAAAACTAAAAAGATAAAAGTTATATATAAATAATTGCATGTATCCAACGCTATGAGGTGTCTGAATGTTATCAAAATTTTAAGTGCCAAGTCTCCAAGAAATATTGATAACTTCCATATAATATGATCGCAAATAAAAGCCAAGCTGCTTTCTTATCTCTATATAGATGTAGTACGTTCGAAATTTTGTTCACATGAAGGGGTAGTTTACATCATGTTTTGATATGGTTAAGATTGGTGGAACAGGTAGCAGAAGTTCAAAAATCTCTTTCTGGCATCGACTTTGACTTGGCTCAGTTGCAAAACATGGTTTCTGGTTTGGTGAGTTTTCCATGAAAGTAGTTGTAAAACTAATATATGTTTCTATCTCATAAGATTGGTAATCTGATCCATCTGTTGCATTTACTATGCCGTTGCTTTGACAGTTGTACTTGCAGACATGTCAAATCATTTTTTTCAGTAACTGCTTCTGGTTTCGAATTTGATAAGTGATGAGGGATTCTCTAGAATTCGCGTTTACTGACAGGGATATGACATTAAAAGAAATTATTTATGGTGTATCACTTTTACTTGAGCATTAATTACCATACATCTCTTCTCTTGTTTCAGGATGGGAAACTATCTTCTCTTGAATATAAGCAGGTGAGAAACTTTCTCTTTTATTTTTTTGGGTGCATATAGTACTGACTTTGTCAGTTTGACTGGTTTTCTTTTATACCTTAAAAGGCTAGGTCTCCAACCAAATAGAATAAAATTGGGTGACGTATCGCCTACGTATTTAGAATAGGGAGGTTTCCCAAAGTCGTTCTCATTTCCTGATATGATTTTGTTTTTTTATTATTGCAAAGTCATTTCTACTATTACGATATTGGGAACTTTGCTTATGATGATCCGTTACTTTCAGGAACTTGCAAATGTTGGTGTATTGTACTTGTGCAACTTTGTTGATGGAAAGCAAGCGAAAATGTCTGAAACTGTAAAGGTTGGATACAGTACTTGTGCAAATTAGCCTGAACTGGAAAACAAAACAACTCAACTATACCCATTATCAGATGCGATTATTTTGTTTCAACTTTCTCTCAATAATCGGGTCCTGTGACTCACTAATTAATTTCATTGTTGGTCGGAGGGGTCCTTAAGTTACATTTCTTTTATTTTTCTCATATTTATCACATGTGTCTGTTGATCAAGTGAACTACTTGACTCAATTATTTCCATTTTTTATTATTTCAATTTTTGAACTGATGTTACATGTTGTATCCCGGTACTTGCAGGAGCAGCTTAAACTTCCAGGCAGGACTCAGGGTCTGCTGACGCATCTGGAAACTCCTAATCTGAAGGTATGCATTATGCAACAACCCCCAATTGATTGAAGGGGGAATGCATATAACGTGAAGTACTTTTGCAATTTGTGATAATTTAAGCGCAATGTTTTTTATTCTCAATGGCAACCGTTGTGCCAACTTTCTAAAGCTTGGGCCGTTGTCAAGTATGAAACAATTATTCCTTCATTCACAAATATAATTTTTGTTGTGGAAGCACCAAATGCCCTTTCAAAACTTTCTATGATCAACATTTGCTTCTCAATTTTACCGAAACGCATCAAACAGAGGGTTATTCATTTACCTGTCTTAAATAACTTTTAATTTTTATTACTTGTTTGTAAGTATCCAAATGATTCTTTCAGGGTCTTAAAGAACTTACTGATACGCTTTCACGAGATTTTACAGAAGGTCAACCAAGAGCCCTTCTCAGGTTTGAGGACTTTTGGTTTCATCTTGATTTTCCCCCTGTTTTCAGATTATTAGTGTATACATGTAGAAGAAGTGATTAATGTTCACTAATGTGCAACAGTGTTGTTTAACTGGGTTGTTCTCATTATACTTTGAGAAATTGGAATTTGAAAGGACCAACATCCCTTATCTGCCCCGAGATAACCCGATTTCCATTTCCATGTCTCGTGCTAGTTCGATTATGTGAAGTATAAACCTTGCCTGTGTTAGATTGTCTTGGTTTATACTTTCTATTGGGGCTAAGTTATTAATAGAATAAAGGAGATAATAGATATGAATTGTCAGATTCTCTGGATTAGATGACCTCACTTCAAAAGTTTAGATTTTATTAAGTTTGCCGTTTTTTCTTTTCCTTTTTGCCAATTTCAGAATATAAATCTCTCTTTGCTATGCCCCCAACAATTTCATAGAGAAGTCGGCGTGCTATGTTGCTCATCATTTATGCGGTTGTTTTGACTTATGGCAGGTCCGCATCAACTAGATGTTAATGGGAAGAGAGATTGTCTGCTGTGCATCCTCCTGTGTCGATTCCACCATCATCCACACATTTGTTCAAGTTGTTTATCTTACGTATATTCCAAGAAGGAGGCGCAATCTCTTCCTTTTCCTAAAATTTATGTTGGCAATGAGTAAAATACCATGCAACGTTAGGACTTTTTGAGGTGTGATTACTCCTTCACACGAATAAACTACAGTATTGAGAAATTCAATTCAACTCCAGATTCTACAGAATCAATGATATGTAAGGGTCATGGAACAAAATTTTGCCCCGTATAAATCACTACTATGTCGCTTCTTGTGGCTGATTATTTCTTTAGAATCACGGTTCATTCATCATCCATTCTTTTGTAGCTCACTTTTTTTTTTGTACAGTTCACAACATTTACAGGAGGAATTTTTATGATCTTGCCAAGGTAAAATTAAAGTTCTAACATTTTTTTTTTTTTTACAGTTTACAACATTTACAGGAGGAATTTTTAAGACTTTGCCAAAGGTAAAAATAAAAAAGAAAAGTTGTAACATTATGTGTTAGAACGCACGTCAAACGTCAAATTTACCTTCTTTTATTTCACATTTGTTAAATTCTTTCAAAATTTCCCCATAAAAAAAATGTCCAATAATAACAAATATTTATTAATGCTATGGTAAATAAGGAAGTGAACAAAGAGGAAAACAAGTTCACTTGTATCTTGATAACGCCAGAAAGACCCAATCCAGTCGAGCCAACCAAAAAATTAATACTCAGTGAGTTGAGCGGTGACCCAAAGAGTAAAAATCTGTTCGTTGACGGCGAGTTTGCGTCGACGTGTGAGTTGAAGTTTAGCATGGTCTGCCTATGAAGCAGGGAAGCGCACCTGACATACGTGTCATTCTGGTAACGTATGTCCCTTCTCTGTACGAGATCATATCCATCTTTGAGAAAGGTCGTTTCTTCCTTTGGTCGCCGGAGGTAACAAAGAATGCTCCGTTCATCATCAAGTCTCCCTCTGATCTCCATGTCCACGTCTTCCACACACTCTCCGGCGAGTACTCTCTCTTTGTCACCTGAGTTGGTTCACACCCAGTTTTAGTTTCTTGAGAAAATTAAACATTTGATTTGATTTGATTTGACTTGACTTGATTACCTCTTTAGCATTTACATTTGGAGGAGCAATGAATCGATTGCCCTGGCTGATAATGATGGGATGCTGGCTACCACCTATGGCATACATAAGCCAATGAGTGTAGTCATTGTTAACGACATGGAAGAACCCCCATCGGCACCTTGGCATCCTCTGCACCAACCCTTGACCAAAGTGATTGAATGCCACTGTCACTTGCATTATCTGATCATTCGAGTACCCATCGCTTGCTCCGAACAGCATCACCTGCATAAAACTCCCAACTTTTAAACTCTTTTATGAAAACATCAGTCACATGGTTTCAGCATGCTTCATTACATCATTGTGGTGAGTGAAATGGCTATTGGATATGGTGATGGCAGTGGATCCCATGATGGCATCAATTAGACCATCTTGACAATTGGACATGGAAACATGGTCAATCCAAATGTTGGAGGAACCGAAAATTGAAATGCCATCGCCGTCGCTCATTGTCCTCAAACCCACATGGTCCACGGAGTCCCTGATCATTCCGCCGCTACCCATGACGATGTGATGGATACGAAGCCCATGGATGATCACATTTTGTACATACTGAAGAGTAATGCCAGCCCCATAAGCAATCTGAACATTAGCGCCTCTTGCATCTATGGTCTTGTCGCTGGACACGATGAGCTCCTGAGTTAGCCTAATGGCCATGTTGGTTGAGAATGTGATCCACAACGGCCCCTTTTGGATCACAGCATGTCGGAGGGTCCCAGGTTTTGGTTCCATGATATCCGAGTCCGACGAATCGTTCACCACGTAGAATGGACCCAACTTCCCGCCGATGGTCTTCCAGCCAAAACCCAGAACACAATCGGCCAGCTTCTTCCTGTTTTTGGCCCAATTGGGGTCGCATCTCCAGCACCGGTCTATGGGATTAGTGGCTCGACATGGCCCTGTATATCTCTTCAAATTCCTTCTCGTATCATTGCTTCCGCTCAATTCCCTGCATCAAACTCCAATCCCATTAATTCATTTCCCCTGAGTTCTTACTACAAAATTTCTCCTGAAGATTGAAAAAATAAAATAAAATAAAATAAAATAAAACAACTTACTGCTCAACTTCAGCATTGAGGATGTCGGTGACGTTCTCTGGATTAGGGTCGAAGGCCTTGGCGGCGGCTTTCTCAGCCTTGGCGGCGCGTGATTTCCAGTAATCATCGAAGTTTCCAGTGTCAGCATATGCAGTAGCCACCAAGGATAATGTTAGCAGAACCCCAAGCATAGCTCTGCTCGTGGGTGCTACCATTTCTGTGGGATGATGAAAGCCCTTTGGATCTTAGACTATGATTACCGGATTTGAAATCCTCAAGCGAAACACGAAGGATTCCGCTTGAGGAAGTGTGAATTGGTTGATGGGAAGGAGAAGGCTTTAAGGAGTTATGAGGGAAAACAGAGGAAGATGATGATGGGGGTAGCCAAGGTCGTTCATGGCGGGAAGAAGGGAGAACCGTTAGCTACTCGGACGGTTAAAACAGTTATTTACTAACATAGATATTTTCTGTGGCTCAGCTTTGGCTGTTTTTTCTATTTCCGTTGCTTTTTAAACAGACATTGAACAAATCGAACTTTATATTAATATTATTATTAATTTTATTTTTCCTTTTTTTTGTCTCCATCCTAAGAATTCAAAGCTCAAATATGCGAATTTACTTTTAAAAAATAATAAAAAATTTGTACACCCAAAAATTAGCTTACTATTTTACAAACTAAAATCTTCGAGGTTTATCCACTTCAAAAATTTCCTGTATTTATTTATTTTTAAAGAATTGGAGTTTTTTTGTTTTTTTTTTTTATAAAAAAAACTCTCAAGATTTGTCTTTGTTTTAAGATTAACATTTTTTTTTATATATATATATTCTTAAATTTTCAATATTTTGTTTAAAGTTTTTATAAGACTGAATTTTTTTTTTAATAATTACTTATTTGACTTTTTTTTTTAATTTTATTTAATTCATAGATTTGTTAAACAATTTGTAAATTTTAGAAATGTTGATTATTAGATACCTATTATTTTAGGAATTCATTACCCAATTTTACGACTTAGAGTATATTAGATATGAAATTAGAAACATGTTTTTTTTTTAAACTTTATGATCTAATAAAACAAAAGTTCAATAAATCATTTTGTAATTTAATCTCAAATTTTATAACGTTTTGTCATATATATAGCTTTTTATAAGTAAATATATAGTAATATAAGTCTTGTCATATATATAGCTTTTTATAAGTAAATAAATAGTAGTACTTATATTATACATGTGAAGTTGGTTAGGTCTTTCAATTTTTATATTTATTTTTAATAGGTTATTGAACTTTAAAAGGTATCTAATAGATAATATTAGAAATATCTATTTTACCTGTGGTGTCGGAGCTTTGTGGAGATCTATCCTAAACGGTGAGGGAATTTTCTGGTTAGACGGAGAATAGAGGAGGAAGTGTGGAACATTTTTGCCCGTTAAATAAATGGGACCAAGTATAGAATTACAAAAAATATTTTCAACCTATATATGTTTTGGCTATATTAAAAAAACAATTAGTTAATTTTGACACTCCAATTATATTATTTAAACTGGGATAGATTTTTTTCCATAGTTAAAATTTAAATTTTTAAAAATTATGTTAGTCGATCTTTGCTTATAAAATATATTGATTTATTAAAAAATTATATTAAGAAATGAAAACTTTAAAATAACTATTTTTCTAAAAGAATAATAAACCGATAAAAATAATCTACAGGAACCCAATCCTTGCAAATTTTTTTGCGGGGAATTCCCTCCAAACCCTACAAAAATAAATAGAAAATTTCGTGGGAATAGAGACGAGAAAGGCTCCCCGTCCCCGTTTCGTGGACTATTTACATTTTCAATTTTTTACCTAACAAGTTTTTGAACTTTGAAAATGTCCGATAAGTCTCTAGTTTTTTTTTATTTAGGACATATTTAATATTTTTTAAATTAATAAATCTATTAAATGGTGTGTTTAAGATCATTAAACTAATAACTTTTTATCTAATAAGTTCATAAATTTTATTAAAATGTGGAACATGTTAAGAAAATATTAAACACAAAACTAAAAATTCGAACTAATTAGACCAATTAGTATCCTCTTAGAGTTCAAAGCTATTTAACACAAGCTTAATCAATATAAATCATCAATAAATTTCATTTAATCATTACACAATTTTAGGGGTCAAAGGCAGAGGATGGGGAAAACCTCTTCGCCCTTGCTTGGAAATATGGATTTCTAAAGGGAAAACTGTGATGAGTGGAATAAGAAAGTGGGCTGAGAGGTGGGAAAAAAAAAGTGGATATACAATGGCATCACCCACGCCTCCTATAATATTAACCTGCCCATAAGTTTATACATGGCCACCAACCGGTGCACGATCTCGCAACAACGCACACTCAAACTAGATGAACACGAAAAAACAAGAGATAAAAGTTTATACTGATGACTTCAATTATGTACAACAACAGAGAATACAGAAAGTACATAGTTCAACTTTACCATATATATAGCTTTTTACGATACATAGTTATTTGTTATTTATGACTATTTATTTTATATCATTTATCATATATAGTTTTGATACGTATAACCATTGACTAGGCAAGCTAACCTTACGATGAACATAAGAGTATAAATCTACTACCGTTCACAATCCAATAAAGTCCCACAGAGGTTTTCTGTTGTCTAAAGTTAGGGATTCACCAGGATTTAGTTGGATACTTCCCAGACCTTGTAGTCTTTTCCCTCCATAACCAATGACCATCCACTGGATCCTCTAGGAGGTTCAAAATAGCCTGGTCCAATCTTCACTCCAACTTTTTCATCCATGGTGGCTGCATACACATCCCTTTCTGCCTTCTCAATTTTAACCTGAAGATTACAGGACAGAGTAATTAAAGCCTACTTATACTTGTTCTTCATCGGTGAAGGCATAGGCCAATAGCAATTTTCTTCAATCTTTTAAAAAGATCATTCATACTTACTACGCTCCGGCAGTGAAGTTTCTGCCGTTTTCTAAGACAAATAAGTGTTGCAATCTCAGATTTGTAGTGGGAGAAAATGTGGTCAAAGAATAGTGATGGTGTCCCAGGATGAGTCAGGATGTAAGCATACCCTTGCATTTCTTTTCCACTGGGAAATCTCCAATGACCCTACAGCATCAGAAAACACCATCACCAAATTAATTTTAAGATTTAAAATGGAAGAACATCCAAAGTACAAACATCAGAGTGTATCTGTAATGAATGTTTCACCCAGTTGATTTCATGCAATAAACTGGTTGTTATGGAAAGATGTTTAAACCTGAGTAGATCCAGTGTCGTGATTCTCTATAAAGGTAACAGCACGAGAAGGCCACCATCCAACGACTCCAGGAGGCTTTCGTTTCTCATCTGATAAACGCCAATATTCACATCTATCAACTGCCTATAACAGAGATTTACCAAATGGTTACTGAAAAAAGAACATGGAAAAATATAATAAGCATCTCAGAAGTATATAACGTTCTACGAGTAAGAATCAAAGAATCTTAGGGATTGCTGCAGAAGTACTGTCTAAAATGAACACCAATATGATTTTTCTAATTGAATCCATCAGACACATCTAAAACAGACACAAGGAGAAAGTAGAAGTTATGACAATGTGATAAAAATTCTTTTTATTACGAGTTTAATCCTGTGTTTTTAATAAACCGTCGTTACCCCCGGGTATGTGCCGCTTTCCTAATCAAAAGATGGGAGAGCACCCCTTCTCCTGAAGTTACGGGGTCATTTTGCCGAGTTTCTTTGACATGTTTCTCTCAAGTGTCCTAGTATACTCTACTTGTTCACCTGTGTCAGTTTGGGATACGGTCAGTTCACTGGGAGGATCACTCTCCCAATTCGAGGATCACTCTCCCAATTCGAAGTTTTTTCCTGAAAGTTTCAACCTTGTTAACTATGACAACAGTTGCGACTATGGCTCTCTTGGGACCCCTACTCTAAGGCCCCCGCTAAAAGGCGAGCAATGGAACAAGAAAGGCTTGTAGACTTGTGAGGCTGAACAACACATTCGAAAACTGAAGCGCACACTCAAAAGTGCTTCGAAAGGTGTCAGCAGGTGCACGAACCTGAAGCCTGCCATGTTCGCCCACTAGGCCGAGTGTTTGTTCACTTCAGAGTCTTCGCCTTTAGATAACAAAAAAAAAAGTGTCAGCCCCATAGGTCGCCAACTGCGACGAAAGTTCCGCCTTTCGGCCACGCCAGTCGCGTAGGGCGACCGGACTAGGCCGAGTCAGAAAGGCTTTGATGACTCAAGGTTCATATTAGGAAAAGGAGAATAAGCTCAGAAATTTTCTTCCACATAATTGAGAACCAGTTAATTAAATGAAAGCTTACAGAATGAAGGATCCCTTTGGTAGTAACATCAAATGCTGCAGCAGTTCCATTAGTAGCATTTATCCAGTCAATGATTCTCTGTCTATGAGCATCTTGATTATAATCCATCACACCATACGTATAGCTCAGCGAATCCCAGTATTCGCCAACAGTAAAGTAAGGTTCACTTGCATCCAAGTAATCCTTCACATAACCACCCCAGAATCCTCTGACAAAATCAAGCCTCCACCCATCGTACCCAATTTCCTTTCTGCATGTCAACAGCCAGAAACATATGCATAAAACATGGCTACTCTAATCCTTAAAAACAAAGTGAAAAAGAGACATTTGAATTGATTAGGAAACCTATGTGCATACGTATATAAGCAAATCATAGAAGTTAAGAACATCAAGCACTTTGTTAAAATAACCAGAATGAACCCACCAATTAATAATTTAAAGATAGCCGCATGGTTTCATTTCAAGGAACAAACGTTAAAAAGATTGATTAGAAAATCAAGCATGATCCAGGAGCTCAAGCTCACCGCTAGCAGATATTGTCCTCTTTGAGCTTTACCTTCTGGGCTTCTCCTCAAGGTTTTAAAACACGTCTACTAGGGAGAGATTTCCACACCCTTATAAGGAATACTTCGTTCTCCTCTCCAATTGATGTGAGATCTCACAATCCACCCCTCTTAGGGGACCAACATACTCACTGGCACACCGCTCGATGTCTGGCTCTGATACCATTTGTAACAGCCCAAGCCCACCACTAGCAGATATTGTCATCTTTGGGCTTTCCCTTTCGGGCTTTCTCTCAAGGTTTTAAAACGCGTCTACTAGGGAGAGGTTTCCACACCCTTATAAGGAATGCTTCATTCCCCTCTCCAACTGATGTGAGATCTCACACCATGTACCAACATAACTCAAACTCTTCACTTATTTGGTTAATTTAACATTTTTTAGAAAATGTCCTTAATTTTTTTTTGTTCTCAAGTTCAAAGAGAGGAATTATATCTAATCATATCAGGCACCTACCAGTGCAAAAAGGGTCTCAAATTGCAGCTATGCAATGAGAGGGCATTGAACTAGGGACCTCTTAGTTCAGTAGTACAAAGCCTCTTTTCACCGTTATGTCAAACTTATGGGTTATCATGTCACAATACAATAAGGTCTTCACATAGAAGACTAGAAACTATGAAATAAACCAATAAAAGTTCCACAGAAATTAATAGTTCAGCCAGAAAAGGATTGGTTGGGAAATTAACCTTAACCAGCATAACCATTCTTTAATATCATTTCTCACAAAATCTTGTGAATGATCAATGTTAGGCGCAGCATGAAAGTTATCTCCGCTACTTTTGTTGCCCCTACCCTTCACATGGCATGAAAATTGAATAATCAATGGGACATTTACATGTGTTCTGTCACTCTTCATCCTCAGTATAAGATAATTAATTTTAGATCGCATATGCAAAGTGGATAATCATTCATATCAATCATTGAATTAATAAAAGATCAAACCTGAAAATGTGGATCATCTGAAACTACAGCACGTTCATCCCAATTTAAGCGACCACCAAATATATTCCAAATACCATTTTGATTTCTAAAATGTGCACAACGATGATTTAGGACAACATCACCAAGAACCTTTATCCCAACATCATGGAACGTCTTCACAGCATCCTTCAGCTCATCAATGTTACCATATCTAAAATCAACAAAGTAGACTCTGAATGATCATTGGAAGTTAACGGTTACTCGACAAGTGATAATGATTTAATCTAGGAGTGGATTGAGAAAAGAAAAGGATCTGCATATACCTGGAATTTAAATTATACAAGTCCTTCGGCATATACCCTTCTGGTGACACAGATTCTGTTGGAGGTGGCAACCATAGCATAGTGAAACCAAGGGAGGATAATTCTGCAGCTTTCTCTTTAAGTATCATGTACCATCTTCCAGATTTGTGAGATTCCCAATTGAACCCTTGGCACAATATTTCAAAACCTGTACCTGTGCCAGAGGATGTTCGAACAGGTGGTTCTACGGGTTTAGGCGTCTCAATTATTTCCTCTGTTGAAGAAGAACTTCTGAAGAGATCATAGGCTTCAGCAGACAATTTTTCAATTTCCTCAAGAATGCTTTCTTGTGCTTCTTTGGTTTTTTTCTTTTGAGTCTTCTGAGAAGAAATGTCAGTAACAGAAACTCCTTCAGATTCTTCTTCAGGTTTTCTAGATACTTCTGCATCCTCTGATTCGCTCCGTCTCGGGTGATCAGGCAGGTTACCAGAACTTGAGAAGGGGACATAGAAGTCATCTCCCTTATAGTTTAACAAAGAGTTCTCATTCTGCTTGAGAACAAAATGAAATCCTCCAAAATCTTCTTCTATGGTAAAAGTTCCACAACTTCCCTTCCCCCCTTCTTTCGGCTGCAAACAGAACATTTCATAATTAATAATAATCACTCGAGTTATACTCATGTTGAATTTTCTAAGATAATTTTTCACATCCACGACTTGTTAGGAGGACCTCAAAGAGCCCGCCCTCGACACAGGAGCAGGATTCTCTAAAAAGCCAAGTTACCATGTGGCTTGAGAGCTTAAAGGAGGGTACACTCAAGGTTCCCTCCGATTATATGTCTTTGAATTTCTATTCGTTGTCCCAATAATGCCAGAAAAGAGTTGAATTAGCAATAAGTATTAGCTCAAATTTCAGGGAAAAAATATTTTGCACCGGACCTGCAGTAGGGTACGCAAGGCCTTGTTCTTGAACACTGTTGTTTCCGGAGGATGAGGAGCTGCTGGAATCTCCCATTTCCTAGTCTCATCTCTACACGCTCCCCAATGAACAATAACATCTCCAGGTAGATCAGTTTCCAAATACAAAAGATATTTTGTTGTTTCTGGACACTTTCTAACCGAAACACAGACCAAATTATCAACAGCTACTTCTTTTACAATAGGCGGCTCTTCATAGAAGCCTTCCAAATACTTTTTTCTCTCCTTTGTATCTCCAGATTCACCATTGCTTCCTTGATCTTTAGAATTTGATTCTGCTTTGACAAGGAGGTTGTATAGCTGAACCAAAGCCCCTACAATTGAGGCCATCTAAAAATCATAACCCACTAACGAAATTAAATTCCCTCTAGTGCACAATGGAAGCAAGATATGGACCATAGGCGCATTACTTTCTAGTTTAGTGCTCTAAGAATGTATACAATGAAAGAAATCACTTAGAATGTCTTGCTGCTCAACAGCCAAGACTACAGCTCCTATCATGAAATCAGATCAGATTGACATAACAGAAGAGAGATCAAAGAGAAAAAGAGAAAAATACTTAATCAGTGGTTTATTGTACCGTCAATTAAATAGATATGCCATGAACATAAAATCATTTATTTCTATCGGTCTTATTCAGCTCAATGACTGCTTTCAATCAAGACAACTATATTTCATAAGAACTTCTCTAACCTGGCCATAAATCCATATCCTTTTTTGTTCCAACTATATTTTCATCTTCACCATGGTATTCTAAAAGAGGCACCTTAAAATCTCTCCCTTTGTGCTGATACAGAACTCCAGTTTCTTCATCCTGCACTACCAAAAATAAGAAGTCAGATTCACCAAAAGAACTTGCAATATTAAAAACGAGAATGATCAAAGGACCGAAGAGGAATAGCAAACATCCTCAATTGCTAACTACTGAAAATAAGAACCTTCAAAACAAAATTTATAGTTGCAATTGTTTTGTCGAGAACATGATGAATCTTCACTTCATGAACAGAATCTCCCGAAGAAGATGAGGATGATTTCTTCAATGGTGTCTCAATAGCATAATCCTGAGAATATAATTGTTATTACACTTATGCAGACGATGCAAAAACAGCTTAGACATTGAAATGAAGAGACTGTTACAAACTTTGATGGGTATTGAGCCCGGGGGTGTAATTTCTTCAGGAGTTTGATCCCAATCGCTGCAAGGTTCATTCATTCATTCAACCCATTTTAGATGAAGGCAGGGTATCAACGAAACAAACTCAGCATCGGTAACTTTTTTAATAATTTAGGCTTCTCCTTATACCCAAAGGAACATAGATTAAAACGAGATATACCTGCCACTGTCGTCGATTGAGGACGCTCCCCATTGAAGGATCCATTTCCCAGTAAGGTTACATCCTATAGTAAGCTCCAATTGGTTCTGGTCCTTCACCTGGGCTAGTCTGACAGATATCATTCCCTTCAACTACAAGCTCAAATCAACAAGGAAAACAAAAAAATATTAGGGAAAACAAGAAAAGCGAGTAAAGGCAAACAAAAAAAATTATCATCTCGAGAGTGAACAACTCAAGGAAGCAAAAAGGAAATGCACTTCCCAGCAGAAAGAAAACAGATCCCACAAATTAAAGAGGGAGAAAAAGAGCCCCACATCCTAAGATAAAATTTAAACCTTTTCGATGTGGTTGAGAGGAAACGTATCCTTGAGCAAGACATCCATAGATAGGAAAGTTTGAAGAAGAGACGCATTAGTAGTGGTAGCTCTAAAAGCAGGAACTCTATAAGAAGTGTAATTATAATTGACAAAGCTCTTTCGGCCACGACAAAGAAGCTTATTTGGACAGTAACTAAAGGAACAGGTTATGAACGTATGGAATCTAGGACGGTGGTAAAATCTGTGCTTCCCTTCACCACAGTGACAGAGAAGAGGATCAATCCCAATTGGACATGATCCCACAGTTGCCACTCCCTCTACAGAGCAAGTTCAGGAAGAAGTTGAACAAAGAAAAGAAGAACAGAGCAAAAACCAAAACAGAGAGATGGGAGAAAAATTACAGGAGTGGACGCTATTTGTTAACTAAAATATGATGTAATTTGTGACCCTTTTGCTTTCCTAATTTGGTTTAGAAATAATATATTCATCCAATTCACAAAAACGTTAAGAAAAGATTCACCCATTTGAAAATTTCGATTCATCTTTGTCATCAAACGACTAATTGTGGGCTCTTTAGCTTGAAGAAAGAAACAGGACATTCTACAAACAGCTTACCTGCACTGCAGCTTTTTTAGAAATATTTGCTCTTTGCGACAGCAAACCGAATGAATTTAAGGTAGCAAATGGCAACTCGGAGTTCAGGTCATTTCAGTTGTCTGTGACGATTGCTTCTTTTCTCCGCCGTCCACGCGGCAGATTTCGAACGGTTAGCATATTGGGAAAGTGGGTGTGAGAAGCCGTTCAACATCTTACAGTAATTCCAGCTTCAAATGCATCCTTGTTCCAATAATTCAGTCAAACCCATTGATTAATCACGTATTCGTTATCAATAATCAGGTTTATAAGACTGCGGTATCTGTTGCCTAATACTTCATCAATCCAAAATTCTTTTTTTTTTTTTTTGGGTAAGTTCAGCTCGTCAGTTTATGTGGGGCATTGAATTTGTAAGCCAGCAAAATTGCTTGTTAGTATCATTGTTTCCTAAAATGGAAAGGTTTGAGCCACAAAAATGAAGAAGCAAAGGAGTGAAGAGAAGAGCTACTGAGTTCTGTCTGTTCTTCCCAAAACAATATGAGATTGAAAATGGATGAACAAAATTCATCTGCTATCGTACACTTTACTGACAGGTTTCCCATTCTAACAAGATGATAGTGCAGACATCACTGTCTGTAGCATTTTCAATGATCCACCAGCAAATGCTGTTTTGCAAAATAAACATCTATCTATACTGAGGTAGAAGGGGGAGATCTATCGATGACAAAATGAGATGGGTTAACACAACTAGATAATTACTAATTAATTACCAAACAACCCAATTCTTAGGCTCTGACATTGGGTTTTGGAGATGGATGGGGTTGCTGATGATGATATGGAGAAGTATGAGAACCATTGGCAACTGAATAGCTGCGTAGTTGCTGCCCGTTCTTCGGAACTGGTCCAGCCCCGGCATGGTAGCCATTTCTCGCCATTGGGCTTGATCGTATGCGGTCAGCTTGCATTGTCTGAAAATAATAAGATGAACTTGCCATGTCCTTGAGGTTTGGGAGGGGCTTCAAGGCTTCTACAACTTCACTCATTAGAGGTCTGATCTTTTGATCTCGGCTAAGGCATTGAGCAGCTAATTGTGCAGCCTTTTGGGCACCTTTTATTGAGAAATGCCCTTCAAGCCTAGGGTCTATCAAACGATAGAATCTCTTTTTCTCTCCTAGGTATGGCCGTGCCCATTCCACAAGGTTATGTTCACCATTAGGACGGTTTTTATCCATGGATCTTCTTCCAGTTAACATTTCGAGAAGAACCACTCCAAAACTGTAAACATCACTCCTCGATGTAAGATGTCCTGTCGGAGCAGCACGTATCAGACCAAAAGCAATCGCCAGGAACAATGAAAAGGCACAGGTAGACTGAACAAGATAACATAGTTTCTAATTCTACAATTTTAATCTTAGTGTTGCCTGCTATGGGAACAAGCTCCTAGACTATAGGACCATAAGTTCTACTCAGTTCAAGGAAAATTTCCATTTGAATATTCTAAAACTCACCAGTCATTACGTATTCTGGAGCTGCGTAGCCATACGTTCCCATCACACGAGTAGAGACATGAGTTTTATCTCCATCAGGTCCATCTTTTGCAAGTCCAAAATCAGAAAGCTTGGCATTGTATTCCTGAAATAGTGATACTTTCAGGAGGAAGATAAATAATGAAGAAAAACAAATTATATCCACAGCTTCTGTCACATACGGCATCTAATAGAATGTTGGACGTTTTAAAATCACGATATATCACAGGTCTTTGTGCTTCCTCATGAAGAAAAGCAAGGCCCTTGGCAGCACCTAGAGCAATTTTCATCCTAATAGACCACGGAAGAGGTAGAGATCCTGCACATGATACAGATTTTTACAAATGAGAAACAGAAGGATACATACGAGATCGGTTTTTAAATATTAAAAAGACTAAGCTAGTTAACTAATTAACAGAGAAGATCAAAGTCACGGACTTCCTGATATATTCATAAGAGAAGACTCGAAGAATGCACCATTTACCCAAAAACTACAGGATGAATGGAAATGAAAAATGAAGCAACATACTCCGGAAAAGATGATTCTCCAGGCTTCCTCTAGGCATGAACTCATATACAAGCAGTCTTTGATCATCTTCGTTGCAGTAACCGATAAGTCTGACCAAGTTCGGATGTTTGAGATCACTAAGAAAGTTCACTTCAGCCTGCCACATAACACAACCCACCCATCAACTAGAAAGTAGAACATATGGAAATTCCTACCATCCAAACAACTTTTTATCACATGCATACAGGATGAAAAATGCATCAAAATATCAAAAAGACGATCAGAGAAGCTACAAACCATCCATTCTTTATGGCCCTGAAGACCATCGTGGTTGAGTGTTTTAACAGCAACAGTGAGTCCTGTACCAGGTTTAACTGGAGCAGTTCCATTTTCTTCAACCCAACCCTTGAAAACACAACCAAAACCACCCTCACCAAGTAGACTCTCGGGTCTAAAGTTCCTTGTAGCCAACTTAAGATCATTAAATGAAAAATTCCGTAGATGAGGCGAAATTTTAAGTTCCTCTTCTAGTTTGGAAGTGGATGAAGTACTCTCTGCATTACTCATACTTGTGGCTGTTGAAGATATCTCTCGAGGTGTTGGTTGGTCTCTACTTGAATCAGCCGTAGACTTGCTTTCAGCTGGCACAAAAGGATCATAAATGAGTAAAACTCAAAAATTAAAAATAAAAAGTTAGAAAATGCATATCGATATCGACAGCGCAGGATGCAGTTTTGTTTCAAACTTAAAACATTAATCTAAATTCCCCATTCCTATAAACAATCCGTTCCTTACCCACCATCTATAACCTTTTAAAGATTATCATCCACAAAAAACGGACACTAGTTTGCATTTTGCAACAAGGGTTATCATAAGTCGAGGAGATCGTTCCAGGTTCGTAAGGTAAAAGCTGCATTCAAGGCAACCACTCTCGCTTTCTACCGAAGCTTGACTGGATAAGTCAAGCAGAGCTTCAAGATCCATTTTCTAGACTTCCATTACAACTTTTCTAATCTTAAATAACACAAATGCAAGATTAAGAACTCGCATTGTTCAATGATTTTAAGTACACAAATATTGTTGTTAATCAACTTGTGACAACAATACACAAACCACGCCTACTCTTGGACACTTTTGCGAAAAGAATCAATGCTGACATCAGAAAATGTTTCCAAATCACAACAATCAAAATCAAACCCTTAAAGAACATAAACTAAAGTAGAAATTTCAGGAGGTCCCAGAAAGCAATAAATCTAAGTTTTAAGCCATTAAGCGAGTACAGAGAATACAACAAGAGGAAAATGATCTTCCGATAACATAAGTCATTACCATAGTTGATACTAGTCCCACTAATCGAACTATCAACTTTGGATCTCGAAGAAATGCAGCTACCAAAAATCCTCAAAGCAATCCAACAACCAGTCTCCTCTTCCAAGTTTTCAATCTGTTCCTTGTTGTTCTTCTGCTTCTTCTTCTTCCCCTTCGATTCCCTCACTTCCCGAGACTCAACTTTCCCATCTTCAGCGATTACCTCCATGGCTCAAGTACCAAGAAAAACACAGATAATCATAAAAAATCCTCGAATCGGAAACACCATCCAGTGCCTCACCTTCCCGAGTCGCTACATCAACCCCGGCTAGTTAATTTTTTCCTTGAAACAGCGGAAAAGATCACTCAAATCTACCCCGTTTCACTAAGGGCAAAGAAAGGAGAAGATTACCAGATCGTATAAAAATTGATGAATTCCAAGAGAAACCCTTCAAAAGGCAGAAAATGGATGAACTAGAATGAGCTCATACAGAAGTCTCCTTTCCATCGAAGGACAATGATTCTTGCAGTCCCTCGCTGTTCAACTTACAAATCTGTGCGCCTAAAGATATAGATTATCCCCAAGATGGGTTTTCAACAAGAACAAGCAGATTAGTTTTAAGCTGGTAGAGTTATAAATTTTATGCAACAAAAACAATTAAATAAAAGAAAAATTATTTTCCAAAATATCAATTCTCTCTCTCTCTCTTCCTTTTTCTTTCTTCCCCCTCACCCCCATTTTCCAATGGAATCAAAGACTGGCCAAAAGTTTGCGTCGCTGCCCGGGGCAAACTGCCGGCCGTATCAGCTGACCGTGGCCCGTGGCGCCAAATCAGAATGGACCAAACATTTCGGGCAATAGAAAGTAGTAAAATCGGGCATTTCGGGCATGGGAGAGAAGGTGACCGTGACCCCACAGGGATGTTGACGTGTCTGCCTCCGTGGGCGGATTTGAATGCGCACGTCAAATTATTCGGTGCATTGCACGCACCTCTATTCAATTTTCCCTCTATTTTTTCGAATTATTAAAAAGAAGTTTATAATTTATTTCTTTTTCCCAAATTGAAAAACCGATTGTACCCCTACCCCACCCTCTGCCCTAAATTATAATAATAGAGCCCCAACCCCAATCATTTCAACCTCTTTATTTAAGTAAATTTGTCGATAACCAAATCAAATTGCACACACTAATTTTCATATATTTTCTAAATACATCTTTTTTCTTTTTATTATTATTTCTAATTTTATCTAAAATCATCTTTTTTTTATCCGTTTATCTGGGAAGACCTCGAAACTCTTTTCTTGAAACTAGAGGACGAGCAATAGTACCAAAATGATGAACTTGAAGATTAAGCATTTTAAAGAAGTGTCAACAGACTTATTTACGTGCTTCCAATAATTTATTTTATTTCTTGACAAAAAATAAAATAAAATAAAGATACAACCATGGCAGGGTATCTTTTAATTGGATGAAATTTAAAATATAAAACATTATTTAAAAGAACAAAAAAAATAATAATTATTATTATTTGACCTGATGTTGCATAAACGTGCACCACATAGCTTCACTTTAGTCATACTTGTTTTAATATATTGATTAAAACTAATTGTTTTTTAGATTTAATACAACATTGTGTCGATATAATATATTATTTTAGTATATGTTTACAAAGCAACATCTCAATACTTGAGATATAATACACATTTTATAACTTACGATGCACATCAAAAAGTACCAGAATTTTTATATGAAGATTATTGTTATTCTAA